GGTCTCGACGCTGTTCAGCAATGAGCCAATTACTTGAAATTTCTTCTCCTCAAGTACCTTTGGAGCAAAAGTAGTCCCTGGTGAGATAGGATTTCTCGACAAAAAGTCAACATGTGCCATTCTTTTCCCATCTCTATACTGAATATCAAATGTAAATGACTGTAAGAAAGCCCACCAACGCTGTGCTCTAGGAGTCAGATCTTGTTTATTTCTTGACGCCTTCAATGAGTTACAGCCGGTATAAACAGTAAAGTTCCTGCCCACCAAGTAATGTCGAATATGTTTAATTGAGTTTACAACCGCTAAAGTTTCCAACTCATACAAGTGATACTTGACTGGTGAAGTAGTTTTGCTCTAATATATTATATTACCTGTGGTTTGTTATTAATTTTGTGTAATAAAATTGCACCGTAACCATTGCCACTTGCATCTGTATGTAATTCAATTGGATAAATTGGGTCAAAAATAACAAGGACTGGCTCATCAGTAAGTAGAGAAATAACTTGTTTCCGTATCTGTTCATGTTCTGCTTTCCAAATAAATTTATTTTTGTCTGAAGTTAAGAAATATAACGGTTTCATCAACTGTGAAAAGCCCTTTATAAACTGCCGGAAATACGACGCTAATCCAATAAATTGTCTAAGTGCTGTTACAGACTGTGGAGGCGGCAGGACAGTTAACGCTACAATTTTCTGAGGGTTGGGACGAATTTCACCAGCACTAACACTGTAGCCTAAATATTGAACCGATGTTTTCAGGAAAGAACATTTTGTAATATTGAATGAAAACCCAGCCTTTGTCAGAACATTTAAAACGATCTCTAATCTTTCAAACGCGTCGCATTGTGTTGTGGCAGTTATCATGATATCATCCATATAGACGACAACATAAGAATTTGCTAAGTCCCCTAGCGCCTGCATTACAAAGCGTTGAAAAACAGAAGGCGCGTTTTTAAGCCCGAATGGCATAGACAGAAACTCATACTGGCCATCTGGCGTCACAAACGCTGTGTACTCAATAGAATCCGCATGCAAAGGAATTTGGTAGTATCCACTGGCCATATCTAAACATGTAAAATAATTAGCTCCTCAAGTCTATCTATTTGATCCTGTATGAGTGGCAGCGGGTATTTATCAGCGACTGTGTTCGAATTTAGCTCTCTATAGTCAACGCAGAGCCTATCGGAACCATTTTTCTTCTTTACCAACAATATAGGGCTTGCATAAGGTGAACAGCTAGGTCTAATTATATTACACCTCAACAGCTCCTCAATTTTCTCTCGAACTAAATCTCGCTCGCATGGACTTAATCGGTATGGCCTTCTTTGAACTGTTTTTCTTGGATCAACAATCAATCAACAATCTAATTTTCATTTCGCCAACTTTAACCTTAGTACATGGATTGCCTTTTGTAAAACAATCTGAGTACTTTGCTAACAATGAATTAAGTTTTATTTTATTTTCTTCGTCAAGTTCGGTATAAATATCGGCTGGCTCAGAACCGGTACACAAATTAATTATTTTGGCTCTTGAAATTGTAAATTTGTTGGATGAAATGACAATATCAAAACCCTGCTTAAGTATTTCACGCCCAATGACGATATCGTTTTGCATGTGATCATCGCCTACTACATGAAACAAAATCTCAATAAAATTGACATTAATCTTAACGTTACTTAAAACTTGTACAGTACTACATATTCCATTACTGCCTAGGCCTTTTAACATAACAATATTATTTAATCGTTTACCAGAAAACTTAGCACTTAGCTTTTCTTTTATCAGTGAGCATTCAGCTCCGGAATCAAAGGTGACTTCAAAAATGTGTCCTCTGTGGTTCATGCTTCCCTTAGGTACTGCAACGCTGAATGTCTTGTTCCTATCAGCTTCCTTCTTTGTGCATTGGGTAGATATGTGTCCCCAGTCTCCACACTTGTAGCAAGTTACATTTGATTTTTCACGTCGATGTTCATCGTGTCTGACATGTCGCTCTTTGTCATTAGCAAGGTGATGTTGTTGTTTCTTGAGTTTGCACTCAAACATTTTGTGACCTAATTTTCCACAAAAATGACACTCGATCAAAGATTGCTTTTGTCGTTTTGGATAAACTTCAGATTGATGCTCCACAAAGCCACTTTTCCTTTTATTAAATGTGAACGCTTTTAATTCGGACTGTAGATCGCTTCTGGTTCGAACATTTGATGTGAAACTTAAACGCTGCAAACGGTTATCAAAGCTTGCCAGCAATGCGAGAGTCACGGACACAGCAATTTCTTCTTTCTCCATTTCACGCCATTTCGTCGTTAGTTCTGTAACCATGCGGCTTGCGTGCAGCGCGAGACACTCGCCATCAGTCGGTCGCTTTGTCAGCATATTTAGAAACATAGCGGCTGGTGTTTCTAAAGTATCAAAGCGCTGTATGAAGAATTCCTTGAACTCGAGCCTGGTTATATCAGCATAGCACACTTGGGACAGCCATTGCGAAGCGCTACCCTCCAATGCTGAACTTAAAGCCAGAACCAACGCACTGCCTTTCAACGTATTTTCTTGTAATATTACTTCCACCGTTGAACACCACGATGAAGCGATGGCACCTGCCTTATCTGGGTTGAATTTGGGTAGGTGCACGAATTTGCTCTGCCCTGCACCAGGTTCCGTTGTTTTAATGGCTCGCACAAGATCGATCAAATTTTTATTTTGCAATTCCATGATGGCACGCCATTGTCCATCCATTCTGATGTCGAATTACGTTCGGGTTCCATTAGAGCGGAGTGCGTTTCGGTCTGAACACAGCCGTCGATTTACAGAGACTCACTATACGTTCTTTTAACTGCCTATACTGTTCCTGCGAACCACACACGGCGACAGCGCCACAACGCTGACGCCTCGCTAAAACGGTTCCTCTCAAAAAAGGACATGACAAAATCCACGAAGCCTGCTACGCAGCCGTGTGTCGTGCTACACTTTTTGTAGCGCCGCACAGGCAACATGATATGCAAAAATGATGCATGATATTGCAAAACTGCAGGACATAAGATGACACAAGAGAGGACACAAGAAACTAGGATTCCTTATACACTGAGATATACCAATCGCCGACACGGCCATACTGGCTCTAACACGACCTCGTGCATAAAAGACCATATTTTTAGTTTCTCTTTTGCTTTCTTTTTACTTCTATTTTTTTTAACAACCTTTTATTTTTACAACTTAAACAAATGTTTCCACAACGAAATTCAATTTTCATTTCTTAATTTATGTAAACTAATTAATGACCAATTTCACAAAATAGTATCAGACCTCCTTAAGACATACCTTAACTTAAATTTTATCATTCTGTTTGGTTTTCTTAACAAATCAGGTCTTCAAAAATTATGTTTCGATCTCACAAAAACAAACTTATTTTCAAACCAATTTTCCCTGTTATGTCGATGTGGATTGTGTGCCAAGGAATATTTACTTTTGGGATTGGATGCAGTTCAGCCTGAATTTTTCCTGAGGTTGATTTAGACATTTTGCAAGTGATGCAGTTGTCAACAAATTTTTGACGTATTTTGACATATTGTCAAACCGGTAAAAATCGTAAACTTTATCCAGTGTCTTTTCGAAACCTAAATGCATTATCGACTCATGAACTTGGTTTATAACGGACCATCTGAAAGCACGGGGCACCACCGGTAAACAGCGAGTTCTGCCATTCCTCTGTATTTTTCGGTGAGGAACCTCTGTCCTTAGTTCATAAGTTTTCGCAATATCTTCATCAAGAGAAAAATCTTTTAATTTAGTCACGATTTCGGCTTTGTCTGGGTCTCGACGCTGTTCAGCAATGAGCCAATTACTTGAAATTTCTTCTCCTCAAGTACCTTTGGAGCAAAAGTAGTCCCTGGTGAGATAGGATTTCTCGACAAAAAGTCAACATGTGCCATTCTTTTCCCATCTCTATACTGAATATCAAATGTAAATGACTGTAAGAAAGCCCACCAACGCTGTGCTCTAGGAGTCAGATCTTGTTTATTTCTTGACGCCTTCAATGAGTTACAGTCGGTATAAACAGTAAAGTTCCTGCCCACCAAGTAATGTCGAATATGTTTAATTGAGTTTACAACCGCTAAAGTTTCCAACTCATACGAGTGATACTTGACTCAGGTGAAGTAGTTTTGCTATAATATTCTATTACCTGTGGTTTGTTATTAATTTTGTGTAATAAAATTGCACCGTAACCATTGCCACTTGCATCTGTATGTAATTCAATTGGATAAATTGGGTCAAAAATAACAAGGACTGGCTCATCAGTAAGTAGAGAAATAACTTGTTTCCGTATCTGTTCATGTTCTGCTTTCCAAATAAATTTATTTTTGTCTGAAGTTAAGAAATATAACGGTTTCATCAACTGTGAAAAGCCCTTTATAAACTGCCGGAAATACGACGCTAATCCAATAAATTGTCTAAGTGCTGTTACAGACTGTGGAGGCGGCAGGACAGTTAACGCTACAATTTTCTGAGGGTTGGGACGAATTTCACCAGCACTAACACTGTAGCCTAAATATTGAACCGATGTTTTCAGGAAAGAACATTTTGTAATATTGAATGAAAACCCAGCCTTTGTCAGAACATTTAAAACGATCTCTAATCTTTCAAACGCGTCGCATTGTGTTGTGGCAGTTATCATGATATCATCCATATAGACGACAACATAAGAATTTGCTAAGTCCCCTAGCGCCTGCATTACAAAGCGTTGAAAAACAGAAGGCGCGTTTTTAAGCCCGAATGGCATAGACAGAAACTCATACTGGCCATCTGGCGTCACAAACGCTGTGTACTCAATAGAATCCGCATGCAAAGGAATTTGGTAGTATCCACTGGCCATATCTAAACATGTAAAATAATTAGCTCCTCAAGGTCTATCTATTTGATCCTGTATGAGTGGCAGCGGGTATTTATCAGCGACTGTGTTCGAATTTAGCTCTCTATAGTCAACGCAGAGCCATCGGAACCATTTTTCTTCTTTACCAACAATATAGGGCTTGCATAAGGTGAACAGCTAGGTCTAATTATATTACACCTCAACAGCTCCTCAATTTTCTCTCGAACTAAATCTCGCTCGCATGGACTTAATCGGTATGGCCTTCTTTGAACTGTTTTTCTTGGATCAACAATCAATCAACAATCTAATTTTCATTTCGCCAACTTTAACCTTAGTACATGGATTGCCTTTTGTAAAACAATCTGAGTACTTTGCTAACAATGAATTAAGTTTTATTTTATTTTCTTCGTCAAGTTCGGTATAAATATCGGCTGGCTCAGAACCGGTACACAAATTAATTATTTTGGCTCTTGAAATTGTAAATTTGTTGGATGAAATGACAATATCAAAACCCTGCTTAAGTATTTCACGCCCAATGATGATATCGTTTTGCATGTGATCATCGCCTACTACATGAAACAAAATCTCAATAAAATTGACATTAATCTTAACGTTACTTAAAACTTGTACAGTACTACATATTCCATTACTGCCTAGGCCTTTTAACATAACAATATTATTTAATCGTTTACCAGAAAACTTACTTAGCACTTAGCTTTTCTTTTATCAGTGAGCATTCAGCTCCGGAATCAAAGGTGACTTCAAAAATGTGACCTCTGTGGTTCATGCATCCCTTAGGTACTGCAACGCTGAATGTCTTGTTCCTATCAGCTTCCTTCTTTGTGCATTGGGTAGATATGTGTCCCCAGTCTCCACACTTGTAGCAAGTTACATTTGATTTTTCACGTCGATGTTCATCGTGTCTGACATGTCGCTCTTTGTCATTAGCAAGGTGATGTTGTTGTTTCTTGAGTTTGCACTCAAACATTTTGTGGCCTAATTTTCCACAAAAATGACACTCGATCAAAGATTGCTTTTGTCGTTTTGAATAAACTTCAGATTGATGCTCCACAAAGCCACTTTTCCTTTTATTAAATGTGAACGCTTTTAATTCGGACTGTAGATCGCTTCTGGTTCGAACATTTGATGTGAAACTTAAACGCTGCAAACGGTTATCAAAGCTTGCCAGCAATGCGAGAGTCACGGACACAGCAATTTCTTCTTTCTCCATTTCACGCCATTTCGTCGTTAGTTCTGTAACCATGCGGCTTGCGTGCAGCGCGAGACACTCGCCATCAGTCGGTCGCTTTGTCAGCATATTTAGAAACATAGCGGCTGGTGTTTCTAAAGTATCAAAGCGCTGTATGAAGAATTCTTGAACTCGAGCCTGGTTATATCAGCATAGCACACTTGGGACAGCCATTGCGAAGCGCTACCCTCCAATGCTGAACTTAAAGCCAGAACCAACGCACTGCCTTTCAACGTATTTTCTTGTAATATTACTTCCACCGTTGAACACCACGATGAAGCGATGGCACCTGCCTTATCTGGGTTGCATTTGGGTAGGTGCACGAATTTGCTCTGCCCTGCACCAGGTTCCGTTGTTTTAATGGCTCGCACAAGATCGATCAAATTTTTATTTTGCAATTCCATGATGGCACGCCATTGTCCATCCATTCTGATGTCGAATTACGTTCGGGTTCCATTAGAGCGGAGTGCGTTTCGGTCTGAACACAGCCGTCGATTTACAGAGACTCACTATACGTTCTTTTAACTGCCTATACTGTTCCTGCGAACCACACACGGCGACAGCGCCACAACGCTGACGCCTCGCTAAAACGGTTCCTCTCAAAAAAGGACATGACAAAATCCACGAAGCCTGCTACGCAGCCGTGTGTCGTGCTACACTTTTTGTAGCGCCGCACAGGCAACATGATATGCAAAAATGATGCATGATATTGCAAAACTGCAGGACATAAGATGACACAAGAGAGGACACAAGAAACTAGGATTCCTTATACACTGAGATATAACAATCGCCGACACGGCCATACTGACTCTAACACGACCTCGTGCATAAAAGACCATATTTTTAGTTTCTCTTTTGCTTTCTTTTTACTTCTATTTTTTTTAACAACCTTTTATTTTTACAACTTAAACAAATGTTTCCACAACGAAATTCAATTTTCATTTCTTAATTTATGTAAACTAATTAATGACCAATTTCACAAAATAGTATCAGACCTCCTTAAGACATACCTTAACTTAAATTTTATCATTCTGTTTGGTTTTCTTAACAAATCAGGTCTTCAAAAATTATGTTTCGATCTCACAAAAACAAACTTATTTTCAAACCAATTTTCCCTGTTATGTCGATGTGGATTGTGTGCCAAGGAATATTTACTTTTGGGATTGGATGCAGTTCAGCCTGAATTTTTCCTGAGGTTGATTTAGACATTTTGCAAGTGATGCAGTTGTCAACAAATTTTTGACGTATTTTGACATATTGTCAAACCGGTAAAAATCGTAAACTTTATCCAGTGTCTTTTCGAAACCTAAATGCATTATCGACTCATGAACTTGGTTTATAACGGACCATCTGAAAGCACGGGGCACCACCGGTAAACAGCGAGTTCTGCCATTCCTCTGTATTTTTCGGTGAGGAACCTCTGTCCTTAGTTCATAAGTTTTCGCAATATCTTCATCAAGAGAAAAATCTTTTAATTTAGTCACGATTTTGGCTATGTCTGGCTCTCGACGCTGTTCAGCAATGAGCCAATTACTTGAAATTTCGGCCAAGTTAACTCTCTTCTCCTCAAGTACCTTTGGTGCAAAAGTAGTCCCTGGTGAGATAGGATTTCTCGACAAAAAGTCAACATGTGCCATTCTTTTCCCATCTCTATACTGAATATCAAATGTAAATGACTGTAAGAAAGCCCACCAACGCTGTGCTCTAGGAGTCAGATCTTGTTTATTTCTTGACGCCTTCAATGAGTTACAGTCGGTATAAACAGTAAAGTTCCTGCCCACCAAGTAATGTCGAATATGTTTAATTGAGTTTACAACCGCTAAAGTTTCCAACTCATACGAGTGATATCTTGACTCAGGTGAAGTAGTTTTGCTATAATATTCTATTACCTGTGGTTTGTTATTAATTTTGTGTAATAAAATTGCACCGTAACCATTGCCACTTGCATCTGTATGTAATTCAATTGGATAAATTGGGTCAAAAATAACAAGGACTGGCTAATCAGTAAGTAGAGAAATAACTTGTTTCCGTATCTGTTCATGTTCTGCTTTCCAAATAAATTTATTTTTGTCTGAAGTTAAGAAATATATCGGTTTCATCAACTGTGAAAAGCCCTTTATAAACTGCCGGAAATACGACGCTAATCCAATAAATTGTCTAAGTGCTGTTACAGACTGTGGAGGCGGCAGGACAGTTAACGCTACAATTTTCTGAGGGTTGGGACGAATTTCACCAGCACTAACACTGTAGCCTAAATATTGAACCGATGTTTTCAGGAAAGAACATTTTGTAATATTGAATGAAAACCCAGCCTTTGTCAGAACATTTAAAACGATCTCTAATCTTTCAAACGCGTCGCATTGTGTTGTGGCAGTTATCATGATATCATCCATATAGACGACAACATAAGAATTTGCTAAGTCCCCTAGCGCCTGCATTACAAAGCGTTGAAAAACAGAAGGCGCGTTTTTAAGCCCGAATGGCATAGACAGAAACTCATACTGGCCATCTGGCGTCACAAACGCTGTGTACTCAATAGAATCCGCATGCAAAGGAATTTGGTAGTATCCACTGGCCATATCTAAACATGTAAAATAATTAGCTCCTCAAGGTCTATCTATTTGATCCTGTATGAGTGGCAGCGGGTATTTATCAGCGACTGTGTTCGAATTTAGCTCTCTACAGTCAACGCAGAGCCCATCGGAACCATTTTTCTTCTTTACCAACAATATAGGGCTTGCATAAGGTGAACAGCTAGGTCTAATTATATTACACCTCAACAGTCCTCAATTTTCTCTCGAACTAAATCTCGCTCGCATGGACTTAATCGGTATGGCCTTCTTTGAACTGTTTTTCTTGGATCAACAATCAATCAACAATCTAATTTTCATTTCGCCAACTTTAACCTTAGTACATGGATTGCCTTTTGTAAAACAATCTGAGTACTTTGCTAACAATGAATTAAGTTTTATTTTATTTTCTTCGTCAAGTTCGGTATAAATATCGGCTGGCTCAGAACCGGTACACAAATTAATTATTTTGGCTCTTGAAATTGTAAATTTGTTGGATGAAATGACAATATCAAAACCCTGCTTAAGTATTTCACGCCCAATGATGATATCGTTTTGCATGTGATCATCGCCTACTACATGAAACAAAATCTCAATAAAATTGACATTAATCTTAACGTTACTTAAAACTTGTACAGTACTACATATTCCATTACTGCCTAGGCCTTTTAACATAACAATATTATTTAATCGTTTACCAGAAAACTTAGCACTTAGCTTTTCTTTTATCAGTGAGCATTCAGCTCCGGAATCAAAGGTGACTTCAAAAATGTGACCTCTGTGGTTCATGCATCCCTTAGGTACTGCAACGCTGAATGTCTTGTTCCTATCAGCTTCCTTCTTTGTGCATTGGGTAGATATGTGTCCCCAGTCTCCACACTTGTAGCAAGTTACATTTGATTTTTCACGTCGATGTTCATCGTGTCTGACATGTCGCTCTTTGTCATTAGCAAGGTGATGTTGTTGTTTCTTGAGTTTGCACTCAAACATTTTGTGGCCTAATTTTCCACAAAAATGACACTCGATCAAAGATTGCTTTTGTCGTTTTGGATAAACTTCAGATTGATGCTCCACAAAGCCACTTTTCCTTTTATTAAATGTGAACGCTTTTAATTCGGACTGTAGATCGCTTCTGGTTCGAACATTTGATGTGAAACTTAAACGCTGCAAACGGTTATCAAAGCTTGCCAGCAATGCGAGAGTCACGGACACAGCAATTTCTTCTTTCTCCATTTCACGCCATTTCGTCGTTAGTTCTGTAACCATGCGGCTTGCGTGCAGCGCGAGACACTCGCCATCAGTCGGTCGCTTTGTCAGCATATTTAGAAACATAGCGGCTGGTGTTTCTAAAGTATCAAAGCGCTGTATGAAGAATTCCTTGAACTCGAGCCTGGTTATATCAGCATAGCACACTTGGGACAGCCATTGCGAAGCGCTACCCTCCAATGCTGAACTTAAAGCCAGAACCAACGCACTGCCTTTCAACGTATTTTCTTGTAATATTACTTCCACCGTTGAACACCACGATGAAGCGATGGCACCTGCCTTATCTGGGTTGAATTTGGGTAGGTGCACGAATTTGCTCTGCCCTGCACCAGGTTCCGTTGTTTTAATGGCTCGCACAAGATCGATCAAATTTTTATTTTGCAATTCCATGATGGCACGCCATTGTCCATCCATTCTGATGTCGAATTACGTTCGGGTTCCATTAGAGCGGAGTGCGTTTCGGTCTGAACACAGCCGTCGATTTACAGAGACTCACTATACGTTCTTTTAACTGCCTATACTGTTCCTGCGAACCACACACGGCGACAGCGCCACAACGCTGACGCCTCGCTAAAACGGTTCCTCTCAAAAAAGGACATGACAAAATCCACGAAGCCTGCTACGCAGCCGTGTGTCGTGCTACACTTTTTGTAGCGCCGCACAGGCAACATGATATGCAAAAATGATGCATGATATTGCAAAACTGCAGGACATAAGATGACACAAGAGAGGACACAAGAAACTAGGATTCCTTATACACTGAGATATACCAATCGCCGACACGGCCATACTGACTCTAACACGACCTCGTGCATAAAAGACCATATTTTTAGTTTCTCTTTTGCTTTCTTTTTACTTCTATTTTTTTTAACAACCTTTTATTTTTACAACTTAAACAAATGTTTCCACAACGAAATTCAATTTTCATTTCTTAATTTATGTAAACTAATTAATGACCAATTTCACAAAATAGTATCAGACCTCCTTAAGACATACCTTAACTTAAATTTTATCATTCTGTTTGGTTTTCTTAACAAATCAGGTCTTCAAAAATTATGTTTCGATCTCACAAAAACAAACTTATTTTCAAACCAATTTTCCCTGTTATGTCGATGTGGATTGTGTGCCAAGGAATATTTACTTTTGGGATTGGATGCAGTTCAGCCTGAATTTTTCCTGAGGTTGATTTAGACATTTTGCAAGTGATGCAGTTGTCAACAAATTTTTGACGTATTTTGACATATTGTCAAACCGGTAAAAATCGTAAACTTTATCCAGTGTCTTTTCGAAACCTAAATGCATTATCGACTCATGAACTTGGTTTATAACGGACCATCTGAAAGCACGGGGCACCACCGGTAAACAGCGAGTTCTGCCATTCCTCTGTATTTTTCGGTGAGGAACCTCTGTCCTTAGTTCATAAGTTTTCGCAATATCTTCATCAAGAGAAAAATCTTTTAATTTAGTCACGATTTTGGCTATGTCTGGCTCTCGACGCTGTTCAGCAATGAGCCAATTACTTGAAATTTCGGCCAAGTTAACTCTCTTCTCCTCAAGTACCTTTGGTGCAAAAGTAGTCCCTGGTGAGATAGGATTTCTCGACAAAAAGTCAACATGTGCCATTCTTTTCCCATCTCTATACTGAATATCAAATGTAAATGACTGTAAGAAAGCCCACCAACGCTGTGCTCTAGGAGTCAGATCTTGTTTATTTCTTGACGCCTTCAATGAGTTACAGTCGGTATAAACAGTAAAGTTCCTGCCCACCAAGTAATGTCGAATATGTTTAATTGAGTTTACAACCGCTAAAGTTTCCAACTCATACGAGTGATATCTTGACTCAGGTGAAGTAGTTTTGCTATAATATTCTATTACCTGTGGTTTGTTATTAATTTTGTGTAATAAAATTGCACCGTAACCATTGCCACTTGCATCTGTATGTAATTCAATTGGATAAATTGGGTCAAAAATAACAAGGACTGGCTAATCAGTAAGTAGAGAAATAACTTGTTTCCGTATCTGTTCATGTTCTGCTTTCCAAATAAATTTATTTTTGTCTGAAGTTAAGAAATATATCGGTTTCATCAACTGTGAAAAGCCCTTTATAAACTGCCGGAAATACGACGCTAATCCAATAAATTGTCTAAGTGCTGTTACAGACTGTGGAGGCGGCAGGACAGTTAACGCTACAATTTTCTGAGGGTTGGGACGAATTTCACCAGCACTAACACTGTAGCCTAAATATTGAACCGATGTTTTCAGGAAAGAACATTTTGTAATATTGAATGAAAACCCAGCCTTTGTCAGAACATTTAAAACGATCTCTAATCTTTCAAACGCGTCGCATTGTGTTGTGGCAGTTATCATGATATCATCCATATAGACGACAACATAAGAATTTGCTAAGTCCCCTAGCGCCTGCATTACAAAGCGTTGAAAAACAGAAGGCGCGTTTTTAAGCCCGAATGGCATAGACAGAAACTCATACTGGCCATCTGGCGTCACAAACGCTGTGTACTCAATAGAATCCGCATGCAAAGGAATTTGGTAGTATCCACTGGCCATATCTAAACATGTAAAATAATTAGCTCCTCAAGGTCTATCTATTTGATCCTGTATGAGTGGCAGCGGGTATTTATCAGCGACTGTGTTCGAATTTAGCTCTCTACAGTCAACGCAGAGCCCATCGGAACCATTTTTCTTCTTTACCAACAATATAGGGCTTGCATAAGGTGAACAGCTAGGTCTAATTATATTACACCTCAACAGTTCCTCAATTTTCTCTCGAACTAAATCTCGCTCGCATGGACTTAATCGGTATGGCCTTCTTTGAACTGTTTTTCTTGGATCAACAATCAATCAACAATCTAATTTTCATTTCGCCAACTTTAACCTTAGTACATGGATTGCCTTTTGTAAAACAATCTGAGTACTTTGCTAACAATGAATTAAGTTTTATTTTATTTTCTTCGTCAAGTTCGGTATAAATATCGGCTGGCTCAGAACCGGTACACAAATTAATTATTTTGGCTCTTGAAATTGTAAATTTGTTGGATGAAATGACAATATCAAAACCCTGCTTAAGTATTTCACGCCCAATGATGATATCGTTTTGCATGTGATCATCGCCTACTACATGAAACAAAATCTCAATAAAATTGACATTAATCTTAACGTTACTTAAAACTTGTACAGTACTACATATTCCATTACTGCCTAGGCCTTTTAACATAACAATATTATTTAATCGTTTACCAGAAAACTTAGCACTTAGCTTTTCTTTTATCAGTGAGCATTCAGCTCCGGAATCAAAGGTGACTTCAAAAATGTGACCTCTGTGGTTCATGCATCCCTTAGGTACTGCAACGCTGAATGTCTTGTTCCTATCAGCTTCCTTCTTTGTGCATTGGGTAGATATGTGTCCCCAGTCTCCACACTTGTAGCAAGTTACATTTGATTTTTCACGTCGATGTTCATCGTGTCTGACATGTCGCTCTTTGTCATTAGCAAGGTGATGTTGTTGTTTCTTGAGTTTGCACTCAAACATTTTGTGGCCTAATTTTCCACAAAAATGACACTCGATCAAAGATTGCTTTTGTCGTTTTGGATAAACTTCAGATTGATGCTCCACAAAGCCACTTTTCCTTTTATTAAATGTGAACGCTTTTAATTCGGACTGTAGATCGCTTCTGGTTCGAACATTTGATGTGAAACTTAAACGCTGCAAACGGTTATCAAAGCTTGCCAGCAATGCGAGAGTCACGGACACAGCAATTTCTTCTTTCTCCATTTCACGCCATTTCGTCGTTAGTTCTGTAACCATGCGGCTTGCGTGCAGCGCGAGACACTCGCCATCAGTCGGTCGCTTTGTCAGCATATTTAGAAACATAGCGGCTGGTGTTTCTAAAGTATCAAAGCGCTGTATGAAGAATTCCTTGAACTCGAGCCTGGTTATATCAGCATAGCACACTTGGGACAGCCATTGCGAAGCGCTACCCTCCAATGCTGAACTTAAAGCCAGAACCAACGCACTGCCTTTCAACGTATTTTCTTGTAATATTACTTCCACCGTTGAACACCACGATGAAGCGATGGCACCTGCCTTATCTGGGTTGAATTTGGGTAGGTGCACGAATTTGCTCTGCCCTGCACCAGGTTCCGTTGTTTTAATGGCTCGCACAAGATCGATCAAATTTTTATTTTGCAATTCCATGATGGCACGCCATTGTCCATCCATTCTGATGTCGAATTACGTTCGGGTTCCATTAGAGCGGAGTGCGTTTCGGTCTGAACACAGCCGTCGATTTACAGAGACTCACTATACGTTCTTTTAACTGCCTATACTGTTCCTGCGAACCACACACGGCGACAGCGCCACAACGCTGACGCCTCGCTAAAACGGTTCCTCTCAAAAAAGGACATGACAAAATCCACGAAGCCTGCTACGCAGCCGTGTGTCGTGCTACACTTTTTGTAGCGCCGCACAGGCAACATGATATGCAAAAATGATGCATGATATTGCAAAACTGCAGGACATAAGATGACACAAGAGAGGACACAAGAAACTAGGATTCCTTATACACTGAGATATACCAATCGCCGACACGGCCATACTGACTCTAACACGACCTCGTGCATAAAAGACCATATTTTTAGTTTCTCTTTTGCTTTCTTTTTACTTCTATTTTTTTTAACAACCTTTTATTTTTACAACTTAAACAAATGTTTCCACAACGAAATTCAATTTTCATTTCTTAATTTATGTAAACTAATTAATGACCAATTTCACAAAATAGTATCAGACCTCCTTAAGACATACCTTAACTTAAATTTTATCATTCTGTTTGGTTTTCTTAACAAATCAGGTCTTCAAAAATTATGTTTCGATCTCACAAAAACAAACTTATTTTCAAACCAATTTTCCCTGTTATGTCGATGTGGATTGTGTGCCAAGGAATATTTACTTTTGGGATTGGATGCAGTTCAGCCTGAATTTTTCCTGAGGTTGATTTAGACATTTTGCAAGTGATGCAGTTGTCAACAAATTTTTGACGTATTTTGACATATTGTCAAACCGGTAAAAATCGTAAACTTTATCCAGTGTCTTTTCGAAACCTAAATGCATTATCGACTCATGAACTTGGTTTATAACGGACCATCTGAAAGCACGGGGCACCACCGGTAAACAGCGAGTTCTGCCATTCCTCTGTATTTTTCGGTGAGGAACCTCTGTCCTTAGTTCATAAGTTTTCGCAATATCTTCATCAAGAGAAAAATCTTTTAATTTAGTCACGATTTTGGCTATGTCTGGCTCTCGACGCTGTTCAGCAATGAGCCAATTACTTGAAATTTCGGCCAAGTTAACTCTCTTCTCCTCAAGTACCTTTGGTGCAAAAGTAGTCCCTGGTGAGATAGGATTTCTCGACAAAAAGTCAACATGTGCCATTCTTTTCCCATCTCTATACTGAATATCAAATGTAAATGACTGTAAGAAAGCCCACCAACGCTGTGCTCTAGGAGTCAGATCTTGTTTATTTCTTGACGCCTTCAATGAGTTACAGTCGGTATAAACAGTAAAGTTCCTGCCCACCAAGTAATGTCGAATATGTTTAATTGAGTTTACAACCGCTAAAGTTTCCAACTCATACGAGTGATATCTTGACTCAGGTGAAGTAGTTTTGCTATAATATTCTATTACCTGTGGTTTGTTATTAATTTTGTGTAATAAAATTGCACCGTAACCATTGCCACTTGCATCTGTATGTAATTCAATTGGATAAATTGGGTCAAAAATAACAAGGACTGGCTAATCAGTAAGTAGAGAAATAACTTGTTTCCGTATCTGTTCATGTTCTGCTTTCCAAATAAATTTATTTTTGTCTGAAGTTAAGAAATATATCGGTTTCATCAACTGTGAAAAGCCCTTTATAAACTGCCGGAAATACGACGCTAATCCAATAAATTGTCTAAGTGCTGTTACAGACTGTGGAGGCGGCAGGACAGTTAACGCTACAATTTTCTGAGGGTTGGGACGAATTTCACCAGCACTAACACTGTAGCCTAAATATTGAACCGATGTTTTCAGGAAAGAACATTTTGTAATATTGAATGAAAACCCAGCCTTTGTCAGAACATTTAAAACGATCTCTAATCTTTCAAACGCGTCGCATTGTGTTGTGGCAGTTATCATGATATCATCCATATAGACGACAACATAAGAATTTGCTAAGTCCCCTAGCGCCTGCATTACAAAGCGTTGAAAAACAGAAGGCGCGTTTTTAAGCCCGAATGGCATAGACAGAAACTCATACTGGCCATCTGGCGTCACAAACGCTGTGTACTCAATAGAATCCGCATGCAAAGGAATTTGGTAGTATCCACTGGCCATATCTAAACATGTAAAATAATTAGCTCCTCAAGGTCTATCTATTTGATCCTGTATGAGTGGCAGCGGGTATTTATCAGCGACTGTGTTCGAATTTAGCTCTCTACAGTCAACGCAGAGCCCATCGGAACCATTTTTCTTCTTTACCAACAATATAGGGCTTGCATAAGGTGAACAGCTAGGTCTAATTATATTACACCTCAACAGTTCCTCAATTTTCTCTCGAACTAAATCTCGCTCGCATGGACTTAATCGGTATGGCCTTCTTTGAACTGTTTTTCTTGGATCAACAATCAATCAACAATCTAATTTTCATTTCGCCAACTTTAACCTTAGTACATGGATTGCCTTTTGTAAAACAATCTGAGTACTTTGCTAACAATGAATTAAGTTTTATTTTATTTTCTTCGTCAAGTTCGGTATAAATATCGGCTGGCTCAGAACCGGTACACAAATTAATTATTTTGGCTCTTGAAATTGTAAATTTGTTGGATGAAATGACAATATCAAAACCCTGCTTAAGTATTTCACGCCCAATGATGATATCGTTTTGCATGTGATCATCGCCTACTACATGAAACAAAATCTCAATAAAATTGACATTAATCTTAACGTTACTTAAAACTTGTACAGTACTACATATTCCATTACTGCCTAGGCCTTTTAACATAACAATATTATTTAATCGTTTACCAGAAAACTTAGCACTTAGCTTTTCTTTTATCAGTGAGCATTCAGCTCCGGAATCAAAGGTGACTTCAAAAATGTGACCTCTGTGGTTCATGCATCCCTTAGGTACTGCAACGCTGAATGTCTTGTTCCTATCAGCTTCCTTCTTTGTGCATTGGGTAGATATGTGTCCCCAGTCTCCACACTTGTAGCAAGTTACATTTGATTTTTCACGTCGATGTTCATCGTGTCTGACATGTCGCTCTTTGTCATTAGCAAGGTGATGTTGTTGTTTCTTGAGTTTGCACTCAAACATTTTGTGGCCTAATTTTCCACAAAAATGACACTCGATCAAAGATTGCTTTTGTCGTTTTGGATAAACTTCAGATTGATGCTCCACAAAGCCACTTTTCCTTTTATTAAATGTGAACGCTTTTAATTCGGACTGTAGATCGCTTCTGGTTCGAACATTTGATGTGAAACTTAAACGCTGCAAACGGTTATCAAAGCTTGCCAGCAATGCGAGAGTCACGGACACAGCAATTTCTTCTTTCTCCATTTCACGCCATTTCGTCGTTAGTTCTGTAACCATGCGGCTTGCGTGCAGCGCGAGACACTCGCCATCAGTCGGTCGCTTTGTCAGCATATTTAGAAACATAGCGGCTGGTGTTTCTAAAGTATCAAAGCGCTGTATGAAGAATTCCTTGAACTCGAGCCTGGTTATATCAGCATAGCACACTTGGGACAGCCATTGCGAAGCGCTACCCTCCAATGCTGAACTTAAAGCCAGAACCAACGCACTGCCTTTCAACGTATTTTCTTGTAATATTACTTCCACCGTTGAACACCACGATGAAGCGATGGCACCTGCCTTATCTGGGTTGAATTTGGGTAGGTGCACGAATTTGCTCTGCCCTGCACCAGGTTCCGTTGTTTTAATGGCTCGCACAAGATCGATCAAATTTTTATTTTGCAATTCCATGATGGCACGCCATTGTCCATCCATTCTGATGTCGAATTACGTTCGGGTTCCATTAGAGCGGAGTGCGTTTCGGTCTGAACACAGCCGTCGATTTACAGAGACTCACTATACGTTCTTTTAACTGCCTATACTGTTCCTGCGAACCACACACGGCGACAGCGCCACAACGCTGACGCCTCGCTAAAACGGTTCCTCTCAAAAAAGGACATGACAAAATCCACGAAGCCTGCTACGCAGCCGTGTGTCGTGCTACACTTTTTGTAGCGCCGCACAGGCAACATGATATGCAAAAATGATGCATGATATTGCAAAACTGCAGGACATAAGATGACACAAGAGAGGACACAAGAAACTAGGATTCCTTATACACTGAGATATACCAATCGCCGACACGGCCATACTGACTCTAACACGACCTCGTGCATAAAAGACCATATTTTTAGTTTCTCTTTTGCTTTCTTTTTACTTCTATTTTTTTTAACAACCTTTTATTTTTACAACTTAAACAAATGTTTCCACAACGAAATTCAATTTTCATTTCTTAATTTATGTAAACTAATTAATGACCAATTTCACAAAATAGTATCAGACCTCCTTAAGACATACCTTAACTTAAATTTTATCATTCTGTTTGGTTTTCTTAACAAATCAGGTCTTCAAAAATTATGTTTCGATCTCACAAAAACAAACTTATTTTCAAACCAATTTTCCCTGTTATGTCGATGTGGATTGTGTGCCAAGGAATATTTACTTTTGGGATTGGATGCAGTTCAGCCTGAATTTTTCCTGAGGTTGATTTAGACATTTTGCAAGTGATGCAGTTGTCAACAAATTTTTGACGTATTTTGACATATTGTCAAACCGGTAAAAATCGTAAACTTTATCCAGTGTCTTTTCGAAACCTAAATGCATTATCGACTCATGAACTTGGTTTATAACGGACCATCTGAAAGCACGGGGCACCACCGGTAAACAGCGAGTTCTGCCATTCCTCTGTATTTTTCGGTGAGGAACCTCTGTCCTTAGTTCATAAGTTTTCGCAATATCTTCATCAAGAGAAAAATCTTTTAATTTAGTCACGATTTCGGCTTTGTCTGGGTCTCGACGCTGTTCAGCAATGAGCCAATTACTTGAAATTTCTTCTCCTCAAGTACCTTTGGAGCAAAAGTAGTCCCTGGTGAGATAGGATTTCTCGACAAAAAGTCAAAATGTGCCATTCTTTTCCCATCTCTATACTGAATATCAAATGTAAATGACTGTAAGAAAGCCCACCAACGCTGTGCTCTAGGAGTCAGATCTTGTTTATTTCTTGACGCCTTCAATGAGTTACAGTCGGTATAAACAGTAAAGTTCCTGCCCACCAAGTAATGTCGAATATGTTTAATTGAGTTTACAACCGCTAAAGTTTCCAACTCATACGAGTGATATCTTGACTCAGGTGAAGTAGTTTTGCTATAATATTCTATTACCTGTGGTTTGTTATTAATTTTGTGTAATAAAATTGCACCGTAACCATTGCCACTTGCATCTGTATGTAATTCAATTGGATAAATTGGGTCAAAAATAACAAGGACTGGCTAATCAGTAAGTAGAGAAATAACTTGTTTCCGTATCTGTTCATGTTCTGCTTTCCAAATAAATTTATTTTTGTCTGAAGTTAAGAAATATAACGGTTTCATCAACTGTGAAAAGCCCTTTTTAAACTGCCGGAAATGCGACTCTAATCCAATAAATTGTCTAAGTGCTGTTACAGACTGTGGAGGCGGCAGGACAGTTAACGCTACAATTTTCTGAGGGTTGGGACGAATTTCACCAGCACTAACACTGTAGCCTAAATATTGAACCGATGTTTTCAGGAAAGAACATTTTGTAATATTGAATGAAAACCCAGCCTTTGTCAGAACATTTAAAACGATCTCTAATCTCAGTTATCATGATATCATCCATATAGACGACAACATAAGAATTTGCTAAGTCCCCTAGCGCCTGCATTTCAAAGCGTTGAAAAACAGAAGGCGCGTTTTTAAGCCCGAATGGCATAGACAGAAACTCATACTGGCCATCTGGCGTCACAAACGCTGTGTACTCAATAGAATCCGCATGCAAAGGAATTTGGTAGTATCCACTGGCCATATCTAAACATGTAAAATAATTAGCTCCTCAAGGTCTATCTATTTGATCCTGTATGAGTGGCAGCGGGTATTTATCAGCGACTGTGTTCGAATTTAGCTCTCTATAGTCAACGCAGAGCCTATCGGAACCATTTTTCTTCTTTACCAACAATATAGGGCTTGCATAAGGTGAACAGCTAGGTCTAATTATATTACACCTCAACAGCTCCTCAATTTTCTCTCGAACTAAATCTCGCTCGCATGGACTTAATCGGTATGGCCTTCTTTGAACTGTTTTTCTTGGATCAACAATCAATCAACAATCTAATTTTCATTTCGCCAACTTTAACCTTAGTACATGGATTGCCTTTTGTAAAACAATCTGAGTACTTTGCTAACAATGAATTAAGTTTTATTTTATTTTCTTCGTCAAGTTCGGTATAAATATCAACTGGCTCAGAACCGGTAAACAAATTAATTATTTTGGCTCTTGAAATTGTAAATTTGTTGGATGAAATGACAATATCAAAACCCTGCTTAAGTATTTCACGCCCAATTACGATATCGTTTTGCATGTGATCATCGCCTACTACATGAAACAAAATCTCAATAAAATTGACATTAATCTTAACGTTACTTAAAACTTGTACAGTACTACATGTTCCATTACTGCCTAGGCCTTTTAACATAACAATATTATTTAATCGTTTACCAGAAAACTTAGCACTTAGCTTTTCTTTTATCAGTGAGCATTCAGCTCCGGAATCAAAGGTGACTTCAAAAATGTGTCCTCTGTGGTTCATGCTTCCCTTAGGTACTGCAACGCTGAATGTCTTGTTTCTATCAGCTTCCAGTCTCCACACTTGTAGCAAGTTACATTTGATTTTTCACGTCGATGTTCATCGTGTCTGACATGTCGCTCTTTGTCATTAGCAAGGTGATGTTGTTGTTTCTTGAGTTTGCACTCAAACATTTTGTAGCCTAATTTTCCACAAAAATGACACTCGATCAAAGATTGCTTTTGTCGTTTTGGATAAACTTCAGATTGATGCTCCACAAAGCCACTTTTCCTTTTATTAAATGTGAACGCTTTTAATTCGGACTGTAGATCTGGTTCGAACATTTGATGTGAAACTTAAACGCTGCAAACGGTTATCAAAGCTTGCCAGCAATGCGAGAGTCACGGACACAGCAATTTCTTCTTTCTCCATTTCACGCCATTTCGTCGTTAGTTCTGTAACCATGCGGCTTGCGTGCAGCGCGAGACACTCGCCATCAGTCGGTCGCTTTGTCAGCATATTTAGAAACATAGCGGCTGGTGTTTCTAAAGTATCAAAGCGCTGTATGAAGAATTCCTTGAACTCGAGCCTGGTTATATCAGCATAGCACACTTGGGACAGCCATTGCGAAGCGCTACCCTCCAATGCTGAACTTAAAGCCAGAACCAACGCACTGCCTTTCAACGTATTTTCTTGTAATATTACTTCCACCGTTGAACACCACGATGAAGCGATGGCACCTGCCTTGTCTGGGTTGAATTTGGGTAGGTGCACGGATTTGCTCTGCCCTGCACCAGGTTCCGTTGTTTTAATGGCTCGCACAAGATCGATCAAATTTTTATTTTGCAATTCCATGATGGCACGCCATTGTCCATCCATTCTGATGTCGAATTACGTTCGGGTTCCATTAGTGCGGAGTGCGTTTCGGTCTGAACACAGCCGTCGATTTACAGAGACTCACTATACGTTCTTTTAACTGCCTATACTGTTCCTGCGAACCACACACGGCGACAGCGCCACAACGCTGACGCCTCGCTAAAACGGTTCCTCTCAAAAAAGGACATGACAAAATCCACGAAGCCTGCTACGCAGCCGTGTGTCGTGCTACACTTTTTGTAGCGCCGCACAGGCAACATGATATGCAAAAATGATGCATGATATTGCAAAAATGCAGGACATAAGATTCCTTATACACCAATCGCCGACACGGCCATACTGACTCTAACACGACCTCGTGTATAAAAGACCATATTTTTAGTTTCTCTTTTGCTTTCTTTTTACTTCAATTTTTTTATTAACAACCTTTTATTTTTACAACTTAAACAAATATTTCCACAACGAAATTCAATTTTCATTTCTTAATTTATGTAAACTAATTAATGACCAATTTCACAAAATAGTATCAGACCTCCTTAAGACATACCTTAACTTAAATTTTATCATTCTGTTTGGTTTTCATTAACAAATCAGGTCTTCAAAAATTATGTTCCTATCTCACAAAAACAAACTTATTTTTAAACCAATTCTTTTACTCAGTTCATCCATTCTCATATCTAATGCACCACACGCCATGATCAAAACAAACATTAGTTTGTTCTGCACTTGTGCTTACATTAATAATACGAATCTCTTTATCGTCCACTCAGGCCACGATACTGTCTCTTTTCATCATTTCATTACTTTCTCTTACCACAGAGGCTTTCTTATTCTTTTTATTTGTTTTTTTTTTTTTAAATTTTATTTCTGTACTCTGCCGTTTCCTTTTGGACAGCAGTACTACATTTTTTTGCCACTTCACTTTCTTCAGCAACTTCAACATTCGAAATATTTTCATTTTCGGTCTCAACATTATTATAATCATCACACACATTAAGCTCCTCGGGAACTTCCCCATCTGGTAAAATTCTTAAATCTTCGTGAGCATACTTGTAAGTTCGTTTACTAGTTAATGACTTTAAAATGTACCTGTCACCCTCTAGAACCTGTGTTATTTCAAAAGGCCCCTTGAATTTTGGACTCAGCTTGGTTTTATGCCTTTCCTCGTTTTTAAGTAGTTCAAAATCTCCAACATTGTGTCTACGTACTTTCGCCTTACTTTTATCAAACCGTTCTTTACCATACACTGCAGTAACTAAAACATTTTTTCAGCTTGTGCTCTAACGTTCGATAGATCTACATCATTTTCTATGTCACTAGGTGGAAGTAATCCTAATGGCCGTGCTAATTTTCCCAATAACATTTCCAGAGGACTTGCCTTCGTCACACGATTAGTTGTACAATTAATTGCAAGCTGCACCTCTCCTAGCACATCCTGCCAAGACTGTGTTCCAGTTTCAGCCGCCGTTAACATATTTTTCAACGTGCTCATTGTTCGTTCCACTTGGCCGTTAGCTCTACTAGCACCGGGGGCAATCAAGTGCAAGTTTATTTTGTGATCTGAACAAAATTCACTAAACTTTGCTCCAGTAAAACACCTTCCCTGGTCAGCTATTATTCGGTTTGGTACTCCAAACAACGAAATAGCGGACTTGACAGCCTTTATGCAACTCTCACTGTCCAATTTAAGGGTATGACAAAGATAGACATATTTGGTAAGCGCGTCAACTTGAACAATAACATACTCCTTTGGTCACTCTTGCCGCATAATTTCCCTGTTATGTCGATGTGGATTGTGTGCCAAGGAATATTTACTTTTGGGATTGGATGCAGTTCAGCCTGAATTTTTCCTGAGGTTGATTTAGACATTTTGCAAGTGATGCAGTTGTCAACAAATTTTTGACGTATTTTGACATATTGTAAAACCGGTAAAAATCGTAAACTTTATCCAGTGTCTTTTCGAAACCTAAATGCATTATCGACTCATGAACTTGGTTTATAACGGACCATCTGAAAGCACGGGGCACCACCGGTAAACAGCGAGTTCTGCCATTCCTCTGTATTTTTCGGTGAGGAACCTCTGTCCTTAGTTCATAAGTTTTCGCAATATCTTCATCAAGAGAAAAATCTTTTAATTTAGTCACGATTTCGGCTTTGTCTGGGTCTCGACGCTGTTCAGCAATGAGCCAATTACTTGAAATTTCTTCTCCTCAAGTACCTTTGGAGCAAAAGTAGTCCCTGGTGAGATAGGATTTCTCGACAAAAAGTCAACATGTGCCATTCTTTTCCCATCTCTATACTGAATATCAAATGTAAATGACTGTAAGAAAGCCCACCAACGCTGTGCTCTAGGAGTCAGATCTTGTTTATTTCTTGACGCCTTCAATGAGTTACAGTCGGTATAAACAGTAAAGTTCCTGCCCACCAAGTAATGTCGAATATGTTTAATTGAGTTTACAACCGCTAAAGTTTCCAACTCATACGAGTGATATCTTGACTCAGGTGAAGTAGTTTTGCTATAATATTCTATTACCTGTGGTTTGTTATTAATTTTGTGTAATAAAATTGCACCGTAACCATTGCCACTTGCATCTGTATGTAATTCAATTGGATAAATTGGGTCAAAAATAACAAGGACTGGCTAATCAGTAAGTAGAGAAATAACTTGTTTCCGTATCTGTTCATGTTCTGCTTTCCAAATAAATTTATTTTTGTCTGAAGTTAAGAAATATAACGGTTTCATCAACTTTGAAAAGCCCTTTATAAACTGCCGGAAATACGACGCTAATCCAATAAATTGTCTAAGTGCTGTTACAGACTGTGGAGGCGGCAGGACAGTTAACGCTACAATTTTCTGAGGGTTGGGACGAATTTCACCAGCACTAACACTGTAGCCTAAATATTGAACCGATGTTTTCAGGAAAGAACATTTTGTAATATTGAATGAAAACCCAGCTTTTGTCAGAACATTTAAAACGATCTCTAATCTTTCAAACGCGTCGCATTGTGTTGTGGCAGTTATCATGATATCATCCATATAGACGACAACATAAGAATTTGCTAAGTCCCCTAGCGCCTGCATTACAAAGCGTTGAAAAACAGGCGCGTTTTTAAGCCCGAATGGCATAGACAGAAACTCATACTGGCCATCTGGCGTCACAAGCGCTGTGTACTCAATAGAATCAGCATGCAAAGGAATTTGGTAGTATCCACTGGCCATATCTAAACATGTAAAATAATTAGCTCCTCGAAGTCTATCTATTTGATCCTGTATGAGTGGCAGCGGGTATTTATCAGCGACTGTGTTCGAATTTAGCTCTCTATAGTCAACGCAGAGCCTATCGGAACCATTTTTCTTCTTTACCAACAATATAGGGCTTGCATAAGGTGAACAGCTAGGTCTAATTATATTACACCTCAACAGCTCCTCAATTTTCTCTCGAACTAAATCTCGCTCGCATGGACTTAATCGGTATGGCCTTCTTTGAACTGTTTTTCTTGGATCAACAATCAATCAACAATCTAATTTTCATTTCGCCAACTTTAACCTTAGTACATGGATTGCCTTTTGTAAAACAATCTGAGTACTTTGCTAACAATGAATTAAGTTTTATTTTATTTTCTTCGTCAAGTTCGGTATAAATATCAACTGGCTCAGAACCGGTAAACAAATTAATTATTTTGGCTCTTGAAATTGTAAATTTGTTGGATGAAATGACAATATCAAAACCCTGCTTAAGTATTTCACGCCCAATTACGATATCGTTTTGCATGTGATCATCGCCTACTACATGAAACAAAATCTCAATAAAATTGACATTAATCTTAACGTTACTTAAAACTTGTACAGTACTACATGTTCCATTACTGCCTAGGCCTTTTAACATAACAATATTATTTAATCGTTTACCAGAAAACTTAGCACTTAGCTTTTCTTTTATCAGTGAGCATTCAGCTCCGGAATCAAAGGTGACTTCAAAAATGTGTCCTCTGTGGTTCATGCTTCCCTTAGGTACTGCAACGCTGAATGTCTTGTTTCTATCAGCTTCCAGTCTCCACACTTGTAGCAAGTTACATTTGATTTTTCACGTCGATGTTCATCGTGTCTGACATGTCGCTCTTTGTCATTAGCAAGGTGATGTTGTTGTTTCTTGAGTTTGCACTCAAACATTTTGTAGCCTAATTTTCCACAAAAATGACACTCGATCAAAGATTGCTTTTGTCGTTTTGGATAAACTTCAGATTGATGCTCCACAAAGCCACTTTTCCTTTTATTAAATGTGAACGCTTTTAATTCGGACTGTAGATCTGGTTCGAACATTTGATGTGAAACTTAAACGCTGCAAACGGTTATCAAAGCTTGCCAGAAATGCGAGAGTCACGGACACAGCAATTTCTTCTTTCTCCATTTCACGCCATTTCGTCGTTAGTTCTGTAACCATGCGGCTTGCGTGCAGCGCGAGACACTCGCCATCAGTCGGTCGCTTTGTCAGCATATTTAGAAACATAGCGGCTGGTGTTTCTAAAGTATCAAAGCGCTGTATGAAGAATTCCTTGAACTCGAGCCTGGTTATATCAGCATAGCACACTTGGGACAGCCATTGCGAAGCGCTACCCTCCAATGCTGAACTTAAAGCCAGAACCAACGCACTGCCTTTCAACGTATTTTCTTGTAATATTACTTCCACCGTTGAACACCACGATGAAGCGATGGCACCTGCCTTGTCTGGGTTGAATTTGGGTAGGTGCACGGATTTGCTCTGCCCTGCACCAGGTTCCGTTGTTTTAATGGCTCGCACAAGATCGATAAAATTTTTATTTTGCAATTCCATGATGGCACGCCATTGTCCATCCATTCTGATGTCGAATTACGTTCGGGTTCCATTAGAGCGGAGTGCGTTTCGGTCTGAACACAGCCGTCGATTTACAGAGACTCACTATACGTTCTTTTAACTGCCTATACTGTTCCTGCGAACCACACACGGCGACAGCGCCACAACGCTGACGCCTCGCTAAAACGGTTCCTCTCAAAAAAGGACATGACAAAATCCACGAAGCCTGCTACGCAGCCGTGTGTCGTGCTACACTTTTTGTAGCGCCGCACAGGCAACATGATATGCAAAAATAATGCTTGATATTGCAAAAATGCAGGACATAAGATGACAAAAGAGAGGACACAAGAAACTAGGATTCCTTATACACTGAGATATACCAATCGCCGACACGGCCATACTGACTCTAACACGACCTCGTGTATAAAAGACCATATTTTTAGTTTCTCTTTTGCTTTCTTTTTACTTCTATTTTTTTTTAACAACCTTTTATTTTTACAACTTAAACAAATGTTTCCACAACGAAATTCAATTTTCATTTCTTAATTTATGTAAACTAATTAATGACCAATTTCACAAAATAGTATCAGACCTCCTTAAGACATACCTTTACTTAAATTTTATCATTCTGTTTGGTTTTCATTAAGAAATCATTTCAAATCAAATCATTAACAATTCAAAAATTATGTTTCGATCTCACAAAAACAAACTTATTTTCAAACCAATTTTCCCTGTTATGTCGATGTGGATTGTGTGCCAAGGAATATTTACTTTTGGGATTGCATGCAGTTCAGCCTGAATTTTTCCTGAGGTTGATTTAGACATTTTGCAAGTGATGCAGTTGTCAACAAATTTTTGACGTATTTCGACATATTGTCAAACCGGTAAAAATCGTAAACTTTATCCTGTGTCTTTTCGAAACCTAAATGCATTATCGACTCATGAACTTGGTTTATAACGGACCATCTGAAAGCACGGGGCACCACCGGTAAACAGCGAGTTCTGCCATTCCTCTGTATTTTTCGGTGAGGAACCTCTGTCCTTAGTTCATAAGTTTTCGCAATATCTTCATCAAGAGAAAAATCTTTTAATTTAGTCACGATTTCGGCTATGTCTGGGTCTAGACGCTGTTCAGCAATGAGCCAGTTACTTGAAATTTCGGCCAAGTTAACTCTCTTCTCCTCAAGTACCTTTGGAGCAAAAGTAGTCCCTGGTGAGATAGGATTTCTCGACAAAAAGTCGACATGTGCCATTCTTTTCCCATCTCTATACTGAATATCAAATGTAAATGACTGTAAGAAAGCCCACCAACGCTGTGCTCTAGGAGTCAGATCTTGTTTATTTCTTGACGCCTTCAATGAGTTACAGTCGGCAGTCCAATAAAATTGTCATTAATCTTAACGTTACTTAAAACTTGTACAGTACTACATATTCCATTACTGCCTAGGCCTTTTAACATAACAATATTATTTAATCGATGGTCGATAATATTGAAAATCGATGGCACCTGCCTTGTCTGGGTTGAATTTGGGTAGGTGCACGGATTTGCTCTGCCCTGCACCAGGTTCCGTTGTTTTAATGGCTCGCACAAGATCGATAAAATTTTTATTTTGCAATTCCATGATGGCACGCCATTGTCCATCCATTCTGATGTCGAATTACGTTCGGGTTCCATTAGAGCGGAGTGCGTTTCGGTCTGAACACAGCCGTCGATTTACAGAGACTCACTATACGTTCTTTTAACTGCCTATACTGTTCCTGCGAACCACACACGGCGACAGCGCCACAACGCTGACGCCTCGCTAAAACGGTTCCTCTCAAAAAAGGACATGACAAAATCCACGAAGCCTGCTACGCAGCCGTGTGTCGTGCTACACTTTTTGTAGCGCCGCACAGGCAACATGATATGCAAAAATAATGCTTGATATTGCAAAAATGCAGGACATAAGATGACAAAAGAGAGGACACAAGAAACTAGGATTCCTTATACACTGAGATATACCAATCGCCGACACGGCCATACTGACTCTAACACGACCTCGTGTATAAAAGACCATATTTTTAGTTTCTCTTTTGCTTTCTTTTTACTTCTATTTTTTTTTAACAACCTTTTATTTTTACAACTTAAACAAATGTTTCCACAACGAAATTCAATTTTCATTTCTTAATTTATGTAAACTAATTAATGACCAATTTCACAAAATAGTATCAGACCTCCTTAAGACATACCTTTACTTAAATTTTTTCATTCTGTTTGGTTTTCATTAAGAAATCATTTCAAATCAAATCATTAACAATTCAAAAATTATGTTTCGATCTCACAAAAACAAACTTATTTTCAAACCAATTTTCCCTGTTATGTCGATGTGGATTGTGTGCCAAGGAATATTTACTTTTGGGATTGGATGCAGTTCAGCCTGAATTTTTCCTGAGGTTGATTTAGACATTTTGCAAGTGATGCAGTTGTCAACAAATTTTTGACGTATTTCGACATATTGTCAAACCGGTAAAAATCGTAAACTTTATCCTGTGTCTTTTCGAAACCTAAATGCATTATCGACTCATGAACTTGGTTTATAACGGACCATCTGAAAGCACGGGGCACCACCGGTAAACAGCGAGTTCTGCCATTCCTCTGTATTTTTCGGTGAGGAACCTCTGTCCTTAGTTCATAAGTTTTCGCAATATCTTCATCAAGAGAAAAATCTTTTAATTTAGTCACGATTTCGGCTATGTCTGGGTCTAGACGCTGTTCAGCAATGAGCCAGTTACTTGAAATTTCGGCCAAGTTAACTCTCTTCTCCTCAAGTACCTTTGGAGCAAAAGTAGTCCCTGGTGAGATAGGATTTCTCGACAAAAAGTCGACATGTGCCATTCTTTTCCCATCTCTATACTGAATATCAAATGTAAATGACTGTAAGAAAGCCCACCAACGCTGTGCTCTAGGAGTCAGATCTTGTTTATTTCTTGACGCCTTCAATGAGTTACAGTCGGCAGTCCAATAAAATTGTCATTAATCTTAACGTTACTTAAAACTTGTACAGTACTACATATTCCATTACTGCCTAGGCCTTTTAACATAACAATATTATTTAATCGATGGTCGATAATATTGAAAATCGATGGCACCTGCCTTGTCTGGGTTGAATTTGGGTAGGTGCACGGATTTGCTCTGCCCTGCACCAGGTTCCGTTGTTTTAATGGCTCGCACAAGATCGATAAAATTTTTATTTTGCAATTCCATGATGGCACGCCATTGTCCATCCATTCTGATGTCGAATTACGTTCGGGTTCCATTAGAGCGGAGTGCGTTTCGGTCTGAACACAGCCGTCGATTTACAGAGACTCACTATACGTTCTTTTAACTGCCTATACTGTTCCTGCGAACCACACACGGCGACAGCGCCACAACGCTGACGCCTCGCTAAAACGGTTCCTCTCAAAAAAGGACATGACAAAATCCACGAAGCCTGCTACGCAGCCGTGTGTCGTGCTACACTTTTTGTAGCGCCGCACAGGCAACATGATATGCAAAAATAATGCTTGATATTGCAAAAATGCAGGACATAAGATGACAAAAGAGAGGACACAAGAAACTAGGATTCCTTATACACTGAGATATACCAATCGCCGACACGGCCATACTGACTCTAACACGACCTCGTGTATAAAAGACCATATTTTTAGTTTCTCTTTTGCTTTCTTTTTACTTCTATTTTTTTTTAACAACCTTTTATTTTTACAACTTAAACAAATGTTTCCACAACGAAATTCAATTTTCATTTCTTAATTTATGTAAACTAATTAATGACCAATTTCACAAAATAGTATCAGACCTCCTTAAGACATACCTTAACTTAAATTTTATCATTCTGTTTGGTTTTTATTAACAAATCAGGTCTTCAAAAATTATGTTTCGATCTCACAAAAACAAACTTATTTTCAAACCAATTTTCCCTGTTATGTCGATGTGGATTGTGTGCCAAGGAATATTTACTTTTGGGATTGGATGCAGTTCAGCCTGAATTTTTCCTGAGGTTGATTTAGACATTTTGCAAGTGATGCAGTTGTCAACAAATTTTTGACGTATTTTGACATATTGTCAAACCGGTAAAAATCGTAAACTTTATCCAGTGTCTTTTCGAAACCTAAATGCATAATCGACTCATGAACTTGGTTTATAACGGACCATCTGGAAGCACGGGGCACCACCGGTAAACAGCGAGTTCTGCCATTCCTCTGTATTTTTCGGTGAGGAACCTCTGTCCTTAGTTCATAAGTTTTCGCAATATCTTCATCAAGAGAAAAATCTTTTAATTTAGTCACGATTTTGGCTATGTCTGGCTCTCGACGCTGTTCAGCAATGAGCCAATTACTTAAAATTTCGGCCAAGTTACCTCTCTTCTCCTCAAGTACCTTTGGTGCAAAAGTAGTCCCTGGTGAGATAGGATTTCTCGACAAAAAGTCAACATGTGCCATTCTTTTCCCATCTCTATACTGAATATCAAATGTAAATGACTGTAAGAAAGCCCACCAACGCTGTGCTCTAGGAGTCAGATCTTGTTTATTTCTTGACGCCTTCAATGAGTTACAGTCGGTATAAACAGTAAAGTTCCTGCCCACCAAGTAATGTCGAATATGTTTAATTGAGTTTACAACCGCTAAAGTTTCCAACTCATACGAGTGATATCTTGACTCAGGTGAAGTAGTTTTGCTATAATATTCTATTACCTGTGGTTTGTTATTAATTTTGTGTAATAAAATTGCACCGTAACCATTGCCACTTGCATCTGTATGTAATTCAATTGGATAAATTGGGTCAAAAATAACAAGGACTGGCTAATCAGTAAGAAGAGAAATAACTTGTTTCCGTATCTGTTCATGTTCTGCTTTCCAAATAAATTTATTTTTGTCTGAAGTTAAGAAATATAACGGTTTCATCAACTGTGAAAAGCCCTTTATAAACTGCCGGAAATACGACGCTAATCCAATAAATTGTCTAAGTGCTGTTACAGACTGTGGAGGCGGCAGGACAGTTAACGCTACAATTTTCTGAGGGTTGGGACGAATTTCACCAGCACTAACACTGTAGCCTAAATATTGAACCGATGTTTTCAGGAAAGAACATTTTGTAATATTGAATGAAAACGCAGCCTTTGTCAGAACATTTAAAACGATCTCTAATCTTTTAAACGCGTCGCATTGTGTTGTGGCAGTTATCATGATATCATCCATATAGACGACAACATAAGAATTTGCTAAGTCCCCTAGCGCCTGCATTACAAAGCGTTGAAAAACAGAAGGCGCGTTTTTAAGCCCGAATGGCATAGACAGAAACTCATACTGGCCATCTGGCGTCACAAACGCTGTGTACTCAATAGAATCCGCATGCAAAGGAATTTGGTAGTATCCACTGGCCATATCTAAACATGTAAAATAATTAGCTCCTCGAAGTCTATCTATTTGATCCTGTATGAGTGGCAGCGGGTATTTATCAGCGACTGTGTTCGAATTTAGCTCTCTATAGTCAACGCAGAGCCTATCGGAACCATTTTTCTTCTTTACCAACAATATAGGGCTTGCATAAGGTGAACAGCTAGGTCTAATTATATTACACCTCAACAGCTCCTCAATTTTCTGGCGAACTAAATCTCGCTCGCATGGACTTAATCGGTATGGCCTTCTTTGAACTGTTTTTCTTGGATCAACAGTCAATCAACAATCTAATTTTCATTTCGCCAACTTTAACCTTAGTGCATGGATTGCCTTTTGTAAAACAATCTGAGTACTTTGCTAACAATGAATTAAGTTTTATTTTATTTTCTTCGTCAAGTTCGGTATAAATATCAACTGACTCAGAACCGGTAAACAAATTAATTATTTTGGCTCTTGAAATTGTAAATTTGTTGGATGAAATGACAATATCAAAACCCTGCTTAAGTATTTCACGCCCAATGACGATATCGTTTTGCATGTGATCATCGCCTACTACATGAAACAAAATCTCAATAAAATTGACATTAATCTTAACGTTACTTAAAACTTGTACAGTACTACATATTCCATTACTGCCTAGGCCTTTTAACATAACAATATTATTTAATCGTTTACCAGAAAACTTAGCACTTAGCTTTTCTTTTATCAGTGAGCATTCAGCTCCGGAATCAAAGGTGACTTAAAAAATGTGTCCTCTGTGGTTCATGCTTCCCTTAGGTACTGCAACGCTGAATGTCTTGTTTCTATCAGCTTCCAGTCTCCACACTTGTAGCAAGTTACATTTGATTTTTCACGTCGATGTTCATCGTGTCTGACATGTCGCTCTTTGTCATTAGCAAGGTGATGTTGTTGTTTCTTGAGTTTGCATTCAAACATTTTGTAGCCTAATTTTCCACAAAAATGACACTCGATCAAAGATTGCTTTTGTCGTTTTGGATAAACTTCAGATTGATGCTCCACAAAGCCACTTTTCCTTTTATTAAATGTGAACGCTTTTAATTCGGACTGTAGATCTGGTTCGAACATTTGATGTGAAACTTAAACGCTGCAAACGGTTATCAAAGCTTGCCAGAAATGCGAGAGTCACGGACACAGCAATTTCTTCTTTCTCCATTTCACGCCATTTCGTCGTTAGTTCTGTAACCATGCGGCTTGCGTGCAGCGCGAGACACTCGCCATCAGTCGGTCGCTTTGTCAGCATATTTAGAAACATAGCGGCTGGTGTTTCTAAAGTATCAAAGCGCTGTATGAAGAATTCCTTGAACTCGAGCCTGGTTATATCAGCATAGCACACTTGGGACAGCCATTGCGAAGCGCTACCCTCCAATGCTGAACTTAAAGCCAGAACCAACGCACTGCCTTTCAACGTATTTTCTTGTAATATTACTTCCACCGTTGAACACCACGATGAAGCGATGGCACCTGCCTTGTCTGGGTTGAATTTGGGTAGGTGCACGGATTTGCTCTGCCCTGCACCAGGTTCCGTTGTTTTAATGGCTCGCACAAGATCGATAAAATTTTTATTTTGCAATTCCATGATGGCACGCCATTGTCCATCCATTCTGATGTCGAATTACGTTCGGGTTCCATTAGAGCGGAGTGCGTTTCGGTCTGAACACAGCCGTCGATTTACAGAGACTCACTATACGTTCTTTTAACTGCCTATACTGTTCCTGCGAACCACACACGGCGACAGCGCCACAACGCTGACGCCTCGCTAAAACGGTTCCTCTCAAAAAAGGACATGACAAAATCCACGAAGCCTGCTACGCAGCCGTGTGTCGTGCTACACTTTTTGTAGCGCCGCACAGGCAACATGATATGCAAAAATAATGCATGATATTGCAAAAATGCAGGACATAAGATGACAAAAGAGAGGACACAAGAAACTAGGATTCCTTATACACTGAGATATACCAATCGCCGACACGGCCATACTGACTCTAACACGACCTCGTGTATAAAAGACCATATTTTTAGTTTCTCTTTTGCTTTCTTTTTACTTCTATTTTTTTTAACAACCTTTTATTTTTACAACTTAAACAAATGTTTCCACAACGAAATTCAATTTTCATTTCTTAATTTATGTAAACTAATTAATGACCAATTTCACAAAATAGTATCAGACCTCCTTAAGACATACCTTAACTTAAATTTTATCATTCTGTTTGGTTTTCTTAACAAATCAGGTCTTCAAAAATTATGTTTCGATCTCACAAAAACAAACTTATTTTCAAACCAATTTTCCCTGTTATGTCGATGTGGATTGTGTGCCAAGGAATATTTACTTTTGGGATTGGATGCAGTTCAGCCTGAATTTTTCCTGAGGTTGATTTAGACATTTTGCAAGTGATGCAGTTGTCAACAAATTTTTGACGTATTTTGACATATTGTCAAACCGGTAAAAATCGTAAACTTTATCCAGTGTCTTTTCGAAACCTAAATGCATTATCGACTCATGAACTTGGTTTATAACGGACCATCTGGAAGCACGGGGCACCACCGGTAAACAGCGAGTTCTGCCATTCCTCTGTATTTTTCGGTGAGGAACCTCTGTCCTTAGTTCATAAGTTTTCGCAATATCTTCATCAAGAGAAAAATCTTTTAATTTAGTCACGATTTTGGCTATGTCTGGCTCTCGACGCTGTTCAGCAATGAGCCAATTACTTGAAATTTCGGCCAAGTTAACTCTCTTCTCCTCAAGTACCTTTGGAGCAAAAGTAGTCCCTGGTGAGATAGGATTTCTCGACAAAAAGTCAACATGTGCCATTCTTTTCCCATCTCTATACTGAATATCAAATGTAAATGACTGTAAGAAAGCCCACCAACGCTGTGCTCTAGGAGTCAGATCTTGTTTATTTCTTGACGCCTTCAATGAGTTACAGTCGGTATAAACAGTAAAGTTCCTGCCCACCAAGTAATGTCGAATATGTTTAATTGAGTTTACAACCGCTAAAGTTTCCAACTCATACGAGTGATATCTTGACTCAGGTGAAGTAGTTTTGCTATAATATTCTATTACCTGTGGTTTGTTATTAATTTTGTGTAATAAAATTGCACCGTAACCATTGCCACTTGCATCTGTATGTAATTCAATTGGATAAATTGGGTCAAAAATAACAAGGACTGGCTAATCAGTAAGTAGAGAAATAACTTGTTTCCGTATCTGTTCATGTTCTGCTTTCCAAATAAATTTATTTTTGTCTGAAGTTAAGAAATATAACGGTTTCATCAACTTTGAAAAGCCCTTTATAAACTGCCGGAAATACGACGCTAATCCAATAAATTGTCTAAGTGCTGTTACAGACTGTGGAGGCGGCAGGACAGTTAACGCTACAATTTTCTGAGGGTTGGGACGAATTTCACCAGCACTAACACTGTAGCCTAAATATTGAACCGATGTTTTCAGGAAAGAACATTTTGTAATATTGAATGAAAACCCAGCTTTTGTCAGAACATTTAAAACGATCTCTAATCTTTCAAACGCGTCGCATTGTGTTGTGGCAGTTATCATGATATCATCCATATAGACGACAACATAAGAATTTGCTAAGTCCCCTAGCGCCTGCATTACAAAGCGTTGAAAAACAGGCGCGTTTTTAAGCCCGAATGGCATAGACAGAAACTCATACTGGCCATCTGGCGTCACAAGCGCTGTGTACTCAATAGAATCAGCATGCAAAGGAATTTGGTAGTATCCACTGGCCATATCTAAACATGTAAAATAATTAGCTCCTCGAAGTCTATCTATTTGATCCTGTATGAGTGGCAGCGGGTATTTATCAGCGACTGTGTTCGAATTTAGCTCTCTATAGTCAACGCAGAGCCTATCGGAACCATTTTTCTTCTTTACCAACAATATAGGGCTTGCATAAGGTGAACAGCTAGGTCTAATTATATTACACCTCAACAGCTCCTCAATTTTCTCTCGAACTAAATCTCGCTCGCATGGACTTAATCGGTATGGCCTTCTTTGAACTGTTTTTCTTGGATCAACAATCAATCAACAATCTAATTTTCATTTCGCCAACTTTAACCTTAGTACATGGATTGCCTTTTGTAAAACAATCTGAGTACTTTGCTAACAATGAATTAAGTTTTATTTTATTTTCTTCGTCAAGTTCGGTATAAATATCGGCTGGCTCAGAACCGGTACACAAATTAATTATTTTGGCTCTTGAAATTGTAAATTTGTTGGATGAAATGACAATATCAAAACCCTGCTTAAGTATTTCACGCCCAATGACGATATCGTTTTGCATGTGATCATCGCCTACTACATGAAACAAAATCTCAATAAAATTGACATTAATCTTAACGTTACTTAAAACTTGTACAGTACTACATATTCCATTACTGCCTAGGCCCTTTAACATAACAATATTATTTAATCGTTTACCAGAAAACTTAGCACTTAGCTTTTCTTTTATCAGTGAGCATTCAGCTCCGGAATCAAAGGTGACTTCAAAAATGTGTCCTCTGTGGTTCATGCTTCCCTTAGGTACTGCAACGCTGAATGTCTTGTTCCTATCAGCTTCCTTCTTTGTGCATTGGGTAGATATGTGTCCCCAGTCTCCACACTTGTAGCAAGTTACATTTGATTTTTCACGTCGATGTTCATCGTGTCTGACATGTCGCTCTTTGTCATTAGCAAGGTGATGTTGTTGTTTCTTGAGTTTGCACTCAAACATTTTGTGGCCTAATTTTCCACAAAAATGACACTCGATCAAAGATTGCTTTTGTCGTTTTGGATAAACTTCAGATTGATGCTCCACAAAGCCACTTTTCCTTTTATTAAATGTGAACGCTTTTAATTCGGACTGTAGATCGCTTCTGGTTCGAACATTTGATGTGAAACTTAAACGCTGCAAACGGTTATCAAAGCTTGCCAGCAATGCGAGAGTCACGGACACAGCAATTTCTTCTTTCTCCATTTCACGCCATTTCGTCGTTAGTTCTGTAACCATGCGGCTTGCGTGCAGCGCGAGACACTCGCCATCAGTCGGTCGCTTTGTCAGCATATTTAGAAACATAGCGGCTGGTGTTTCTAAAGTATCAAAGCGCTGTATGAAGAATTCCTTGAACTCGAGCCTGGTTATATCAGCATAGCACACTTGGGACAGCCATTGCGAAGCGCTACCCTCCAATGCTGAACTTAAAGCCAGAACCAACGCACTGCCTTTCAACGTATTTTCTTGTAATATTACTTCCACCGTTGAACACCACGATGAAGCGATGGCACCTGCCTTGTCTGGGTTGAATTTGGGTAGGTGCACGGATTTGCTCTGCCCTGCACCAGGTTCCGTTGTTTTAATGGCTCGCACAAGATCGATCAAATTTTAATTTTGCAATTCCATGATGGCACGCCATTGTCCATCCATTCTGATGTCGAATTACGTTCGGGTTCCATTAGAGCGGAGTGCGTTTCGGTCTGAACACAGCCGTCGATTTACAGAGACTCACTATACGTTCTTTTAACTGCCTATACTGTTCCTGCGAACCACACACGGCGACAGCGCCACAACGCTGACGCCTCGCTAAAACGGTTCCTCTCAAAAAGGACATGACAAAATCCACGAAGCCTGCTACGCAGCCGTGTGTCGTGCTACACTTTTTGTAGCGCCGCACAGGCAACATGATATGCAAAAATGATGCATGATATTGCAAAAATGCAGGACATAAGATGACACAAGAGAGGACACAAGAAACTAGGATTCCTTATACACTGAGATATACCAATCGCCGACACGGCCATACTGACTCTAACACGACGTCGTGCATAAAAGACCATATTTTTAGTTTCTCTTTTGCTTTCTTTTTACTTCTATTTTTTTTAACAACCTTTTATTTTTACAACTTAAACAAATGTTTCCACAACGAAATTCAATTTTCATTTCTTAATTTATGTAAACTAATTAATGACCAATTTCACAAAATAGTATCAGACCTCCTTAAGACATACCTTAACTTAAATTTTATCATTCTGTTTGGTTTTCATTAACAAATCAGGTCTTCAAAAATAATGTTTCGATCTCACAAAAACAAACTTATTTTCAAACCAATTTTCCCTGTTATGTCGATGTGGATTGTGTGCCAAGGAATATTTACTTTTGGGATTGGATGCAGTTCAGCCTGAATTTTTCCTGAGGTTGATTTAGACATTTTGCAAGTGATGCAGTTGTCAACAAATTTTTGACGTATTTTGACATATTGTCAAACCGGTAAAAATCGTAAACTTTATCCAGTGTCTTTTCGAAACCTAAATGCATTATCGACTCATGAACTTGGTTTATAACGGACCATCTGGAAGCACGGGGCACCACCGGTAAACAGCGAGTTCTGCCATTCCTCTGTATTTTTCGGTGAGGAACCTCTGTCCTTAGTTCATAAGTTTTCGCAATATCTTCATCAAGAGAAAAATCTTTTAATTTAGTCACGATTTTGGCTATGTCTGGCTCTCGACGCTGTTCAGCAATGAGCCAATTACTTGAAATTTCGGCCAAGTTAACTCTCTTCTCCTCAAGTACCTTTGGTGCAAAAGTAGTCCCTGGTGAGATAGGATTTCTCGACAAAAAGTCAACATGTGCCATTCTTTTCCCATCTCTATACTGAATATCAAATGTAAATGACTGTAAGAAAGCCCACCAACGCTGTGCTCTAGGAGTCAGATCTTGTTTATTTCTTGACGCCTTCAATGAGTTACAGTCGGCAGTCCAATAAAATTGTCATTAATCTTAACGTTACTTAAAACTTGTACAGTACTACATATTCCATTACTGCCTAGGCCTTTTAACATAACAATATTATTTAATCGATGGTCGATAATATTGAAAATCGACGGCACCTGCCTTGTCTGAGTTGAATTTGGGTAGGTGCACGGATTTGCTCTGCCCTGCACCAGGTTCCGTTGTTTTAATGGCTCGCACAAGATCGATAAAATTTTTATTTTGCAATTCCATGATGGCACGCCATTGTCCATCCATTCTG